CTGGAATCTCCGGTTCTGAAGACACATTCATGTAGGATCCAAAAACCTGCCGTTAAATGTCAACGAGTTCCCAGCTCCGTAGCTCAGAAACCAGGGCTCAAGTCCATACTTTTATATTCTCGAAAAATTGCGGAAACTGATCAGAATTCTAGTTTCTCCGAAGTTTTTGTCTTCCCCTCTCTTTTTAAGATCAAGAAGGAAATTGAAGGAAGGTTGAATTTTTTTGAAAGTACCCGGATTTCTGGCTCAGCAGCGATGTGACAAGAAAAAAATCTTGCGTTGAGAATGGTTAACGGCTTTAAATATCTATGACGGAAAGACTTCTGTGAAAGGAAAACGCTTCTATGCTTTCATGCTCGTCCCTTCCATTCTTAGCCTTCTTCTCCGATTCCCTCCGAATCCTGAGGCTTTCTGGCCTCTTCTTCTTCCTTCCGCCCTCCATGAAACAAGACAAATTGCTCATCATTCTGCCTATCTAGAATTCAATGGATTCGTTTTTCAATTTTGATGCCTCCTCACGAAGCACACAATAGCTGCAATTCGTCATGGCTGTATATCTCGTGACAATCGAAGATTTGCCTCATTTCATAACTCATTCAAACAGCTACAAATCTGTTCCACCTTCACAATAGCACACTGACGTACATACTGAACACGGGGCCATAACAAGCTGAAAGCGAATAGAGCGAAAGCGACGCAGGAAAATAATCTAGCCGTGGGTAAACATGGTGGGAGCTGTGGTAAACTTCATTAACACTCATATTGGGGGCTTCATTAACTCAGTGGTGAAAACTCTTGAGTAGTGGCGGAACCTCCGCATAGGTCATGGCAGCTTTTAGTGTACCTCAAATGAGCTTTCTAACAGTCCCTTGGAGACGGAAGTGGCGTATTGGCACGTGGCGCACTTTCACTCACGCATGGTCACGGGTTCTGACCTCGGATCGATATCGGATTAAGCCAACCAATCCTTCCATCTCTTTGGGATCGGCCAATTGGTATCGGACTCGTCTGAGAGGATGAGAGCACTGCCATGTACACCGTTTGGCTACTGCAAGTCATTGTATACCCATTCAATACGCCATTACGATTTTGAATGGAAGGGGGCGCACTCCTCAGACGGGATTGATTAACGCCCAAAGACATTATCCTTTTATCATTCCGGTGGGACTGATGGGGTTCGTGGCGGTATGAACGGTAGAGACCTTGAAGTGAACAGTATTGAGCGCTGTCAACTTAGCCGAAAGGCGACAATCACCACATTCCCGACTCAGAGGTCAAATGAAAGGCGTGAGTGAAGGGCGAAAACTAAACTCAAGTGCCTGGAACAAAGTCGTGATGGCATTTCCTGTTTCTTCAGAAAACGCTCTCGAAATACTCAATTAGAGGCCAAGGCCCCCTTTGCGCGCCTCACTCTTTCGCTTTGCCCGTCCCAGGCCGCCCTTGAGGCAATCGATGGATGGAGGAGCTGTGGCTGTTCAGGTCTGAAAAGCGAACCGAGTTTGAGTCAAATTGAGCTACTACCCGCTCACAGCTCTTTCTTTTGTTTCCTTCTACATTTGCCATAATTCTCTCTCTGTCCTAGCCTTGGACCATTTTTGGGGCAACTGCAACGATGTCAGTTGTGACGTTACCCTGCTGCTGCTGCTAAACTGGTCCAGTTAAGAGAAAGCCCATCAACTACCGGGTTCTGGTGATTAACACAGCCGCCTGTTATCGAGAATCCACATCCTGCTCGAAATTTGGGACTTAGAAGAAATTCAGGGTGTCTGCGAGACGATTTGGCCGAAAGCTTCTGATTCAGTTCCGGGAAAGTCTTCAGTGAGGTGCATTCAAGACGAACGCTCATACATAGACTTCTTAATCCACAGATCGTCCGGATTTCCTTCGTTACTTATATTACTGACATTTTTGCTTGCCGGATCACCGACTTCCTCAGTCTCCACCCTCTCCTCACTCTCACTCTTGGCCATTTGGTATTTTGATTTCATAATGGATTACGGAAGTCAATCAAGGAGCATTCGCCTCTGAAGGAGTAATAGCATGGCAACGTCTTCCAACGTTGCCGTCGTCATCCTGCTATTTGCCTTTGGTTTTTCCCTTCTCGCTAATTACAGGACACGGCAGTATTCATATTGGCCCATGAAATACAAGATTGCTCTTGACCTTTGATGCTTCAAAAAAAGGCCATTCTGTCGAAAAGCAATCACCGTAGAGGTCGTTCTGTTCCCAAACTCGGAAGTTCAATTTAATGGAGCTATAAGGGACCGGTGGGAAAATTCTGACTCCAGGCGTTGTATTGGAAGCGCCTATTTGAAAAAATTCTGCTTTTGACATCGCAAACCCTGAATGCCACTGGCAGTTCTGATAGCGAATTTCTTCTTCAGGTTCCCTTTTGAACACCTCTACAATGCACATAATCCATGACAGGTGAGCCCGCCCTTTCGCAGTTAGTAATCGTAAAATCTTTTTCTTTTTCTCTACTTGACAATTTTGAACAATTTCGTTCTGGAACTCTTCCCTAGATTCCCCTATCAGTGGGGCGTTGTCGAAGAAGAAGATGGTCTTCGGAGGTTCATCCACTGGGGCCTTTGTGATGGTATCCAATGTTTTTGGAAGAGAGACGAGCTCCAAGCTTCGTTATGCCCCAACTTTGAAAATTGTTTCTGTAATCTGTAACGGCTGCATACGATATTAACTCATTTCATCCACCATGGGTACTATGTAGGAGTTTTGGAACATAATCGCTTCCCCTAATGGTGGTAGGTAGTTCCAGATCATGATAGACTAGGTAACTGGGACAACGATTTCCTGATACTTCTACATTACTTGTCTAAGTATGGTCATGACATCCAGTTCAGTCTTCCAGAGTATGAAACGAACTGTTCCTATGAGATCGAACAAGCTCCCTTAACCTTGAGAGGACTAGCTTCTCGTACAGTAGTTCAACGGCTTGCGTAATCAATCTGATGGCCGGTTGTTGAGGCACTTAACAAGGGCACTTGCGTCACTCTTGTGTTCAAAGGTGAAAACGATAGTTGTGCCCCTCAAAGTATCACTTTCTTCAGCAGTCACAGTGTTCATTAGCTAGGTGAGAAGCTTCTTAGCTTCTTAGCTGAGTGAGAAGCTTCTTGTGCTTTCTGAGAGTCTTCCTTACCTCGATTGGTACCCCATGCGGATGAGCCGTTCTCTCAACCCTCCATCTCTCCTTCTTGACAGACTTCTTCCTTTGCCCAGAATGAAAAGATTTATAAGCAGCTCTTCTATTTTTCGTTCAGAAATACTAGCGGTGGTTCGATCAGTAGAAACGCCTCGTGAAAAAGCACTGAAGTTCGAGAAGGTGTTTTCTGAAGTGACAACTTTGTCACTACTGTTCAATCCCATATGGACTACCAAAGATGATGCAAACACCTGGAAGTTGCTCATTTTCAAGCTCTTCATACTTCACCTCTGTAAAATTGTTCCCCATCTCAATAGAACAATGGCCTTCATACGGACTTAAACCTCCCATTTGATTGCAGACGCCTGATTGATCGCTTCCCCTAAAAGCTTCAGAAATCATTCCCTAGGCTAATTACGCGAAAAATGAAGGACAAATAGCAATGCTCCGTGAACTGGAGAAGGGGTCGGAAGCTATTAATTCAATCAAACGAGCAAACATCGATAGCTCATTTAGTAAGAACGTTTTACCTCACAAAAATTCGATTCGGCAAATCCTCTAAAAGGGGACAGTTTATACACTGCTGCTTCAGACTGTTTTGGTTGCTCAAAAGCGGAACCCTCTAAAATAAGATGGTCCCGTTGATGGGAATTCGATATGGAGAAGTACAGCGTACCTGTAGGATTATTTATGCAATCAGACTACAAATGCACGATCAGTTTCTTGGAACTTCATTTGACATACCCCCTGTCAAGCGGTTACCAATCGATCCTTCAAGAACTTGCCTTTGTTATAATTTTTGTAAAGTGGAAGTCAGATAGTGGCAAGTAATGCAGGCTCAAAGGTTCATCCTGGCTAATCGTTCAAAAGCCACCACTATCCTGAATGAACGAGTCCCAAAACGAGATTTATCATCATAAGGTTTTTTTTTCAAATCTTATATGTATTCTGGATCTTCTGCAATAACATTAATCGGGTAGCAATGGTCTATTACTCCCCTATCAACTTCTTCAACTAGCAAAAGCGACAGCATGAGCTTTTAGGCTCTCATTTCGAATCATGAATTGGTAAGGGACCAGTACTGAGGTTCTTCTAGACAAACATCGAGCAATTTCGTATAATTCACTTCCACTTTCCCTAGCCTACCAGGAAAATTGGCGTTATTGTCGAAGTAGAACGCTTACAAGACTCTACTCTGCTCCGGCTATATTCGTGATGCTTTGGCGTACAGTTTGGGGCAGATCACTTAGCTGACCCATCATGAAATTAGGGCGACGGGTAGTAGGATCGGTTTTGAGTAATCGATTCGCCGCACGCGGCTCTCGCGGACCATTTGCCTCGTTATAACAGTTCTAGTGCTCTTCATACAGCTCAATCGCAATGCGATAATTATTTTTGGCATGATTCTACTGTTACTTTTATTGTTCCTGTATTTCTTACTTGTTGCTGCATTCTGCTACATTCCTTCGCGCGCGACGTCTCTCTCGCCGCTACGCGACAATTTCGTTCCTACTGCATCACATCCAAGAAATTGACGTGTTTTATAAGTGGTTTCTCAATCCTTCTACTAGTCAATCAGTTCAATTGCTTCTTTGACTCCCTCTTCAAAATGAACTACCGATATGAAACCCAGTATAGAAGACATGGAATAGATGACAAACCATGTGCGTAATCACTTCTCTACTGCAATCATAAAATTAGGTGTTCTGTTTGACTATGTATTTTGTCATTACCATAAAATCGTAGCATCTCAGTACGACAGTATACGGTAGCTCAGGATTCATCGATTCATTGTTCGTCCGCTTCTTCGTCGTACTCAAGACCATTTGTGATCTTTGCAGGTATGATAATACTCAGCTGGGATGTTACCTGGCTGACTATCGTAATCCTCGCCTCGCTAGGCGAGGCGCTTGAGGTGTACACTAATCACTTCCATGTACACACAAAGGAGCCCGGTCTAGAAAACGCACATAGAATCGCCAAGAGACATGGCTTCATCAATAGAGGATCGGTCAGTGATTTATTTCGGAACCATGTAATGGAATACAAAAAGCTTTTTTCATTCTCTTAAGACTTGCCCAATGTGGAAAATCAGGCCCACTTGCACAGAACAAGGGGACCCAAACATTTCTATTGTTTATCGTGACAAATTGGAAGACTGTACGGCAATCAGTCAGGCGTACTAGTTCGTCTTCATCGGCGAAGAGGATAGCGTTAGGTTGAAAAGAGTGTCATGAACCGATTTCTCTTGAAAGTTTTGAATTTATTGGTTCTTGATCGATCGCTCTGGACCCCCTCCCTCCCCTCCCCCCACATCCACAAAATAAAGACCTCGTGATCTGGACGTCATTAGTTAGGATGCGAAGGCTCGCGATACCAGAATTCCAATGAGACTTGGATGTACGCGCCCGGCAGCCCTCAATCATCTGCAGAACATGGCTATGAAAAAAGTTGACCAGGTTAACCAATCGTAAGATGACAGATATCGATACACCCGGCTATCCGTCCATCTACCTTTCTAATTCGCCCGCGCCGCAATGAATTCCTGGAGCAGTATCCCTGGACTTGACTGCTGGGTCCTCTCTAATTCTAATACATCCTGTTGCTCCTTCAAGCAGAAGGCCTGTTGACGCTAGCCAAATCGGACTTCCAACACGATGTAAGAGCAACTGTCTCTTTCGCTGCTTACAGGATTCGCGAGGAATGTAGCATTACGAGCTGCTTCCGCAAGTACCCATCGTGACGACAATCAGCAGAATATCGCGGACACTGTTCGGGAAAAACAGCAGAGGAGCCTTCCGCCTTCCTAGTCCGGGTCAATTCTAAGCCACACATTGCTAAAGAGATGGGCGAAAAAATCAAAGAAACTAGACTGAGCCCGTTTCCATCCACCCTATTGATCTAACATTATACCATTCCGGCTACGGCTATTTATGGCCCTCAGGGCATGACTAGAAAAAAAATCCTCTAGTGTTGATGAAACGTCAGCGGCGAACAGCAATTTTAGCTATCTTAGCCTTTCAGTTTTGACAGAAACGATTGACCCTCAACGGGAGGAGTTCTTCAGGAGTTAAATTTGAATTTACCCTCATCTATTCACTACTGTTCTGTTGTAGATATCAGAAAATCGCAATCCATTTTGAAAAGTTCCCTGATTGCTGACATAGCGGTAATCGCCAGGACCCTCTATTTCAAAGTGTGAAAGATACGTATTCCGCTTAGTGAAGTCGACGAACAGGGCGACGGAATTCTGGTGATGGCGCATGCCACTGATTTGACTGAGGCAGTCTGAAATCATAAAAAACCGAACTGCCGATTCTTCTCGCACAATGTACTTGAAGAGGACAGGGGAGGAGACGTTAAACCGCTCAAAAAGTAAGAGATTCCGAGTCTGAACCGGAACTTCGATAGGGGGTGCCAGGACGCATCATAAGAATGCCGTCTATCATTATACCTCCAGAAACCCTGAGCCGGTATCCTTCACCCCTCCATCTGCCCCCTCTCTACATTCAACCCTATATAGGATAACATTTAATTAGCCTTTGGCCATCGAAGGAGCGCTGGCGAACGAGCAACGGCGCTCGTTATTCTTTATTCGATCTTTCCCACTACTAAATGACTCAAACAAGCGATTTTCTCATTCCAGGTTCTCGGATCCGAGCACGAGTTCCACTTCGTGCAACCTGCACTTTCACATGCCAGGACAAAACGATCACTAGGCCATCACGCAAAACTACACAATGACAACGACGTAAGTGAAGATTTAGACGCATGATTGGTAACAGTCCAACAATAGCTGCCTATCCTGACGAGCTGCACTTAGAATTAGAAATGGCACTTGTGGACAGCTTAGGGCAAGCCAGTTATTCCTTTTACTTCGTTGCGCCAATAGCGTTTATCTGCTCTGGATACTGCTTTGCTTCTTTTCGTGGCTTCTCTTCTCCCGATAAAATTGAACTTTTGAGCTCGGGATTTTTGCAGAAATGATATTCTCGCTTTCCTTACCAGAAATATCTCTAGAAAGTCATCTTTATGTACGACAAATTGTGTTCTAGGTGAAAATGTAGTTGGGGGGTGCCAGCGCCCTCTTGTGCTCTGCGTCTTTGACACCATTCCGCACATTGCATAGAGACCGTGCTAGGGCGCAGAGATGGTTTCATCCCCCGACTAAAAGCTAAGGGATGAGCTCCGGGGTGGGAGAGATGATTATCTCGAGCAAAAAGCTGGGATGAGGTGAGAAATGAACACCCAATTGGTTCACCCACCCCGGAGCTCCTTCCCTAACTTTTGAAAGGGGAGGAGCTTCCCGATGGGCGTGATGATTAGATAGGGTGAGAATTGAAGAGACGCAGAAAACAAAAGGGTCTGGCACCCCCCCTCCCCCCCCAACTACATTTTCACCGTGTTCTACTACTTCGAAAAATGTTGGAAGGCGTCACGCGTCGGCGTCATAACATGATCTCAACGAACTTCTCGGCGATGAAACAGTCAGCCAAAGCCGAACGAGGAAGGGGATCTGCTCCTGCGGTCGCTCTATCCACCAACAGATACTCCCATAGGTTATCACGTCAATCGCCTTTTGAAAGATTGGTTAACGAACACAACTTTCGACGAAGTGAATGGCTTAATGGCCAACGTTAAGGCGTGATCGCCTCCAAGAATCGAAACTTCCTCACTTGTGGAATCCGACCGCCTAGCAAATGGGAACTAGTGCTTGACGTGGATGGTGGTATGCTCCGAAGCAATCATTTGAACATGTCTTTTCTAGATATTTCTATCATTTCTTCAACTAAAATTTGCTGAAAAAATCCGCAATAATGCATCAACCTAATAGATCACCAGTTGGGCTATGCACGCAGACGCACATGTCCATAGCCCCTTACCTACAATTTATTCAAGAAGATCACAGAGGCATCTTTCATGCATGGTATACTGGTCTCCTGCACCACCGAAAATTCCGCTTTGGTACTGTACTCTACTGTACTGTAATTGTGGGAAGTTACGTTCAGAGATGTAATGGAAAATAGTCAGCACAGTGTTTGATGCCCGATACCAACAGATAGATTTCAATGTGAATGTTTTCTTACTCTACTTCCACTCTTTTCTGAAAGTTTGATCGCCCTCTGATTCAAAGGACCAAATAAGGTTCATCCTGCGGCATTCCATATTGGTTAGGGAATCGATACAAACAGTATCATTAGACTTCCAATATCATAACACCTTCCCCACCGCGCTTACGTGACTTCTTGCGGGCTGCCACTCAAAACGACATTTGAATAGACTGACAAAGTTAGCTCTTTATATATAGAGAGGTTGCAAAGGTTTTGATTGCGAGCGGAATTCCACTTGAAAGCACAATGTTCAGGTACTTCACGTCGAACAGCTGACCGGATATAAGCGCACGAAGCGGGGATACAGGTAAAGGATACTGCTATGTGAACATGTATCGTACATTTCTAACTTCGTATCCAATTACAGACCGCTGGCAGAACGACTGCAAAGCCAGTTTGATTTCTCTTCTGTACAATCTCCTACCGATCCTCTTTACAACTATCAGTGGTACCTGGTAAGGAGCCCACAAATTTCGATGACTTTCAGCATCACATTAAGACTTTTAAAAGAAGTCTTTGAGCCACAAATTCGTGACTATAAACGTTCCTTTTTCAGAAAAACACCGGGCAAGCAGGTGGAAAGGCACGTCTCGACTTAAACGTTGAAAAGGTTTGTGCTCATTGTTAGTGTTTAAGATCTTTAGCTGATCCTAACCAGGANATAAATTGAAACCTAGAACTGCTTACTGAGGTAGGGTCTAGTCATTGGGAACCCTGATCCCGGTCGAGCCGGCAGAACAGCCCATCCCCCTTAGCTGGGAATACTCCACATAGCCTGAATAGCCAGTCTCCCATTCAGAGTAATGTCCTGCATATCAATCTCTACCATTTCAGGCGTGGGCATTAGGCTTCACTGGTAAAAACATCACAACGGCTATCATGGACGATGGCGTTGACTATATGCATCCAGATATAAAGAACAATTTTGTACGTTTTTCTCCTATCACATAGGATTTTGGAGGCTTCACTGCCGATTTGGATAATTGGGGAGACTTTTCCCTCGTGTCATTGTTGATTTGCTTGAAAACCCTATTTGTACAGAACGCTGAAGCCAGTTACGACTTCTCATCCAACGATCCATTTCCATATCCCAGGTACACCGACGACTGGTTCAATTCTCATGGTACCAGGTGAGTGATCTCCTACATTAATAAAATCCTGCTCTTCAGTTGTAGGTTTAGTCATGGATCCTTTCATGCTATGAATTGGGTAAAAGTTCCTCTAGTAGCGTTTTGGGATTCCCAGTGATTTGTGCAATTTAAAGAGCAGAGTTACAGCTCATGATAATGACCCAGATCGCAGGACCCAGACGTCGGGGACTTCAAAAGTCAAGGAGAAAGAACTTCTCCCTAATGAAAGCTCGCCGAAGCATTAGCGCTCTTCTTCATTATTCATCACGCTTAGGGCTCGGTCAGTTAAACGGGATAAAATCGAGAAAACTCATAGTAACATATGTGTAACAACAAATGTATGCCTATTTGGTGGGATGCTGCCTTAACGGCCATTTCCCTTTCCCTAATAGTCATAGGTACAGAGTCGTGCATCAGTTCGAGTTATTCCAGCAGGAGTACAAATAGCCATGTTTCCAGGTGTGCCGGTGAAATCGCTGCTGCTCGTGACAACGGAGTATGCGGTGTAGGAGTCGCTTATGATAGCAAGGTGGCAGGGATTCGAATGCTCGATCAGCCGTACATGACTGATCTGATTGAGGTATGACATTTCTTGTTTTGCTACTTATTATTATTCAATGGTTATCGGTATTTATGTCAATGAGATAAGAAAATATGATACGGTATCCATATGTATATGACATCTCGGAAGCTTTTAAACTGTTAAGCATGTCGAGATTACCTATAAGTTTAACTGAATGATTCATTCGGATTGAAATCGGCCAATGAAAATTCAAGCTTATTGTACTGAAAAAGTTGTCAGATCTTAAATCAGGGGAAATTACTCAGTTCTCTACGCACTACTAGGACATCCACCTTCCGCCATTCAAAAGCACAAGTAACGATAATCTCGAGATACCCCTTTTTGGCCGAAAAGCTGAAGTATAGGTTGAAAATAGTTCATCGGTAGTGAAGAAAGCAAGAAAATTGGCCGATTTCGTGTTCCGAGGATACACACGGGACAATCTTTGAGCCTTTGAGCCTATCTAGCCGTTTTCCTACCTGACAGCGCTACATACGGTACGCGAGGGGGCCACAAATCTGTCCTAGGGAGATATCTCATAGCCCATTTTTATCGCGAACTGTGCCTTTAACAATGCTGGAGAATGTGAATGAAATTCCTTGTTTTATGACATTGAATTTTCAGGCCAATTCGATGGGACATGAACCGAACAAGATTCACATCTACTCAGCGAGTTGGGGACCCACAGACGATGGAAAAACAGTCGACGGGCCACGAAACGCCACAATGAGGGCGATCGTGAAGGGAGTCAACGAGGTACGAAATCCATGAACTCCTAAACCTTTCTCATATACAAGTACTTAGCTGCCAGGTAGTGTGCCTATTCAGTCCGGAGAGGCTTACCCTTCTAAGAAGTGTAAGTGGAGGTTTTATGGGATGATTTCAGGGTCGCAACGGGCTTGGCTCAATATTCGTGTGGGCTTCCGGAGATGGCGGTGAGGACGACGATTGCAATTGTGACGGTTACGCCGCGTCTATGTGGACCATTTCCATTAACAGCGCCATCAACAATGGAGAAAATGCTCACTACGACGAGTAAGTAGGAAAAGTTGTAATATGATCACACCCAGAAAGGGAAGATTCCGTGCCTTGCGGTCAGTCGATTCGGGCTTTTTTCAATCCACGTTTCCCGCATTTTCGTGTAGAGTGGGGTCCAAGTTCATTCAGAAGAATACATTCGCAACAACTCAAACTCGGATGTACTGCCTTTTTGGATTTCGTATGGTTCATAAACCATCCAACCACTATCTGCTTTCTCCCTCGATATCGTTTTTCTTTGCCCACGCTTGGTTACGATAATAAAAGACGCAGGAATCTCGAGAACCTTCTAATGCCTCCTTTAGATCATGTTCGTCAACCCTCGCATCCACATTCTCAAACGGAGGACGAAATCCTGAAACAGGTGTGGCCACCACAGACCTTTACGGACGGTATGATTTCTACTGTTGGTTTACTCACTTGGATCTGTTCGGAGTTAGGAAACAACAAACGCTATTCTCCAGATGCACACGGTCACATTCGGGCACGTCTGCCGCCGCTCCAGAAGCTGCTGGTGTCTTCGCCTTAGCACTTGAAGCCAATCCAAAGCTGACTTGGTACTTTTGAAACTTTGCTTTATTTTTTGAACCGTAATCCTAGATATTGAAAGAATGTAACTTCAACTTGATCAGTTCAGGCGAGATCTTCAACACCTGACTGTGCTCACATCTACTCGTAACTCTCTCTTCGATGGACGTTGCCGAGATCTACCCGATCTGGGACTTTCTGTATGATAGTGTTCAGAGACTTTTTGCTGGCTATCAGACAAGGTCACAATCTCACCATTCAGAGCACTGACAATCACAAGAACAACGCTGAAGACAATTGTACGCACTTCGAATGGCAAATGAATGGAGTCGGTCTGGAGTATAACCATCTGTTCGGCTTCGGTGTTCTCGACGCAGCTGAGATGGTGCGTTTGTTGAATTACTTGCCGGCTTTTATGGTGTTTAAACCTACTATATATCGGGTTACCTGTCCCATGATAATTTCTTGATCTGAGTTGTAGTAATTGCTTTCATCTGGTTTCACTTTAGCCCTGGGGCTAAGCATCTGGGGCTTGCCGTTTGCAAGGACTTGCTCGATATTTTCCTGCTNACTTATAAGAGGGACTAATGACTTCAAAGTTCGGTACTACGTATTTCTCCAAGATGTCAAGAGACCAGAATAAGTTCGCTAAGGAACGCGAACCATATTTAGAAGGTCATCCGAGAAGGTCTCCAGTCAAACAACTCGAGGAATTAACATTTCCGAGTTCTGAAAATTTTCAGAATTCTGAAAAGATTGTCCTTACTTCCCTCTTGCTTTTCAATCTCGGCATAGTTGTTTAAAAATATACTTGTGTTGTGTGAGCTTTTTAGGAGGAACAACTTATTAAATCAACGGCTTAACGTGGGAATGCACTTCTGGGATACTGTGCAAATAGTCTCGAGCTGCTTCAGGCTCTGACGGCACAAGAACATATGAATTAGGAACAACTGAAAAGATTTTTTTGAATTTTACACAACGCCTTACTTGTAGGTGATGCTTGCAATGGTATGGAAGACGGCTCCACCTCGTTACCATTGCACTGGTGGTACCATCGATACACCACAGTGAGTTGCCTTCACCAGTATTATCTGAAAGTCAGCTGGCTATCGACTTCTTTGAGAACATCCAGTGTTCTCGTTTCAAGCCACCCTACTCCTGCACGTGGGCCCTTTTTGTTTGAGTCTTGCAAGATTCATTGCTTTCAATTCAGCGGCTTTATGAAATGTTGAACTCCCAGGCATTCAATCGGTATTTACCGTAGTTCATCTGTCATCGCGAATTCGTATGAGCGGTATTCACCACATCCTCGATTCTTCTGTATATGTGGCCCTAATCGTCTCTAATCTTAGTTTATTTACAATGCTCGCAACTCTAGATCCCTCCCCGCGCCCTCCCTCCTCCTGCAGTGTGTGTACCTAGAATGTCAGAGGATTGCCCTTTTCCTAAGGGCTATTGAATAGCGTTGAATGCGTTTTCAGCCGGTCTGTTTAGAGTCGAAGTTTAGATGAACACAGAAAGGGCAGCAGAATCTAAAAGGTTGGCGTAGAGTTGAATGTTCTTTGCCTCCTCAGCCATTTCATCGATAACCCCAAGTGTTCCCTGTACCTGCCTTCGTGGTGCTCAACCTTGGAGCTGAGTTGTTTATCGCATTGCTTCACCGACCTACGGGATATGATTTGCTGAAACATTTAGATATAATGGTCAGCCCTCTGAGTGGGGAGTGGGAGGGGAAATCGGCTGCGAACACACCTTTTCACAGCGCTGCCAAGTTCACCCGACAATCACTTGGCCCGGTCGATAAGAATTGTTCTAAGTAAAAGCGGACTCCCCTGCGAGGTTGTCGACCATCGCTCCGATGCCTTCTCATACCCGCTGAAGCATGCCACTTATTGAGACGGCGCCTGTGTAACTCTTGATTAAGTAGTATCACCTAATTAATAATGAAATGTTGCTGAAGATATCCTGGGTTACACTCTGAACTGGTACAGCCTGCATGAGGGCAGAAGAAGAGAAACCAATGGGTGGCTTGCGGCTATGGGAACCATTCGTTCGACATCACTCTTACTTATGTGCTCATTAGTTGGTAGTTTTAATTGGAACTAGAAAAACATTCAGTTTATCCCCTATAATCTTTGACTGGTGCCCGATTTTCCTACATCCAATCTCCTGTAAATCCTTCTGCGTATGAGTTCATAACATCCTGCCAACGCACTCTTCTATAATTCACAATGACATCTGGCATGTTCTCCTACTTTGTTAGCCATCATCTAATATGTCTCGAATTGAGAGCCAGGGCTCTGTCTATTTCTGTGCCCATGCGGCTCGCATTGATACGTCCTCTGTAGAAAGCTTCTAGCAACCAGTGCCGGAGCAACACATGAGGCTAGAGCAATAGGTGGTCGACCTTTTCGATCACTTCGGGCGTGTCCGCCCTGCAGGATGCCCATTGTCAAGAACGATTTCAATGAAAATGTTGGTGGAGGGGGCAGTCATATCTTCTTCGCCGGCCCTGAAGATACTCCCTCTAGGCTATACTGATTTCCATCTTGGAACTTCATAACCATTCTCCTGTTTTTTTTNATGGCATGAGAAAAGATTAGAAATGTATGCATTTAGTGAAATCCCAGAGGACGGCAATCTTGTTCTGGAACTGGACACGGACGCCTGTCTAGGTACATCCACTGAGGTTAGATATCTGGAACATGTGCAGGCTGTGGTCTCGTTCAATTCGACGCGACGAGGTGATACCACCCTCTACCTCGTTTCTCCAATGGGAACAAGGTAAGAATTTGATAGATCTAGATCTGATTTTGAGTTCTTTGATTCCTCTAATGAATCAATGAATTCTCGTGATAAAGCGTAAACGTCTAAGACCAATGAAGGCTGCTCTGATTCGTTCATGAACCCCAGCTAGCCCTACAGTGTCATGATTACCGTGGTGGCGATCTAGCACTTATACCATGCGAACCTCTACACCTGCAAACTTCTGCTCTAGTCCGCTCGATTTCTCCATTTATCAAATTATACTGAAAATTCGGGAGCGCTGTGAAAGGGCAGAATTTTCTGAAATGAAAGCATTTTTGACACTTACACCAATGCGAGCGCTTCCGTAGTCAAATCTTTTGCACAGTTTATAAACGGCAGAGCAGAATCCATAGCCTATCAGGCAATCGAGCTGGGAGAGGTTCCGAGGCCTGTTATAACGATTCTTGCCTATTATACTTTACGTTATCATTGTTATCATGCTCAGAACAATGATTCTGTCACGCCGCCCGAAAGATGATGACGCCAAAGACGGTTTCACCAACTGGCCTTTCATGACCACTCACACATGGGGAGAGAATCCGATTGGAAAGTGGAGACTCATTGCCAGATTCCAGGTAAGAATCGATTAGTTCATCGGTTTCCCGAGTCTTGTGGTTACTGAAAACATTGAGCCTGTTCAGGGTCCTGGAAAACACCGTGGTACACTGAAGAAGTTCTCGCTGATGTTGCACGGCACCAAGGAGCCCCCGTATGCCGGTATCGAGCCACTGCTCGGTCATGTTAACTCAAAGTTGCAGGTGGTACAGACCGCCCACAAGAGAATCTCACCTTAACTTCAGCACAGCACGTCGTCACTGATCCCCGTCAAATGATCTCTATCTGTCGACTGAATCATTCCATTCATTTCTCATAGTCCAACAGTTCTCCTTCAATGAACAGATTTCTATGGCACATTCCCAGTTTTCTTTCCGGGTTGATCATCCTCCCTCTAGTCATTCGATTCCTCCCTCCCTCCCTCCCATCCGTCTTCTCGTTTTTCAGCCCCTGTCCTGCGGCGCTGCAGTGTGTCATCAATGAGCGCCATCCATGAACGTCGATCTCTCGAACTCTGCAATTGTAAGCGCTGAATAAATGGCTAACTGTTGAATGTAGATAAACATATGCGTTACCTTAATGACTGTTTACTTCTGAAGTATAGATAACATGCATAGTCACCAACTCCTGAAAAAGGTCAACCAGAACAATGCCGTCAAGGATTCAACCCCATCGCTTCAACGACGTGGTTCGCTGAGTCATGCTGGCATGGAAAAAAACAAAATGGAAAAAATGAAAAGTAGGGAAAAAAGCAAGGATTCTGTAGCCAACGTTATTCGTTCATCTTTTCAGGATTTTTTCAGATAAGGTGCGCTTGATACGCATTATGTAGTGCAAACCGGTTACAATAAAATCACATTTCTGAACGAACAGCCTAAAGATGCTTAAGGATCAAAAGCAAACCTCAGTGTGGTGCGTTAGGAACGAAATGGTCGCGTCGCGGTGAGAGGAGCGTCGCGCGCGAAGGAATGTAGCAGGATGCAGCAGTAGGTAAGAAATACGAGAATAAAAGTACTAATAGTAGAATTATGCATAAAATAATGATCGCATATCGACTGGGGTGTATGAAGAATGCTAGAGCTGTAATAACGGCGAATGAGTGGTCCGCGACAGCCGCGTGCGGCGAATCGATTACCCAAAATGGTTTCTAACGCCTGTCTCCTGGAAACCTCACACTAATAAGGGCATGATCAAAATTCTCCACATCCATTAATCATGAATATGAAGCTCACCGAGGGAAGGCTGATGTCGTTGGTTTCATTTCTCAAGAGGGAATAAAAGAAGGAGGCTACAATATTCACCTGAAAGTTTTATTGCTCTGACCCCATTTTGGAAGAGGTCCGTAGATTCTATCAAATAAGCAAGTATGCTGAGTTATGGGCAGGATGTGCAATCTCGAACACGTTTCCAATCCCCACCTTTATGCACCATTTATACATATAGGATATGTGGGAGGAGATCGAATCCACCCAAAGAGCGCAGATATTTTTGTTAGTTGTCCCTCTGTAACCACGTCTTATTTTGTTGCCCTAATTTAGTTCTTCTCGTGCCGTATCCCGTTCAGAGTTCCTGCTGTCACAAGAGTGACCATGTCATCCATGCTATTGGTACTAC